TAATAACCATTTTATAGATCAGGAAACTAAAATACCTGAAGTCATTTAGCTTACAAGGAGCAGAGCCAGGATTTGAAGTTAGGCAGGTGGCCTTAGCATTCATGCACTCCATCTCTCTGTTATTCTGTCTTAGGAGTATATTCAGAGTGGTGAGTTTTTATATTTCCTTTTTTTCAATTGTCTCTACCACTTAAACAAACAAACTATATATATAGCTTTCACATTTTCATTTAAAAAAATTCTCCTAGATCTGGATCTGTGGGTGCCAGCTCTCCTGTCTGTTTGTTCTTCCATTCTGAAGCACCTGGTTCTGCTTGAACCTGGAATCATTTTCCTTCATATTGTACTTTGAATCAGATTTTAAATTCCTTTTGTGTATATTTTCTTTATCCAGAAAGTTTTAAGCTTGAAATATCTCTCCACTATAAAGGTTTTGTTTATTGTTTTCTCAAACATTATACTTACTTAATATACTCTCCAAATGACTATAAAGTTTTATATCCTGCTATAAAATAGCTAACTATGAGTGCCTTTTGTATTTGTAGATTCTAGAAACCTTTTTGAATAACAGGATTCTCTTACATGACTAATTACCCCAGATCTGATGCCTGTGTAATGCTATCTAGCAAGCTACTGTCTTTGTATGAAGAGTGGCTAAAATCTCCTTTTTGTCCTGTTCATTTTAAATCATTTGCTTCTTATTTAATATTTGCAAAGAACACAGTCACCTTATAGTAGAATTTGCTGTTGTAAATTTTGGATTGTTTCCATGGGTTCTGCCTTACATCTGCATGGTGTTTAAAGCCAATGCTTCCTTTCTTTTTGTAAGCATTCAGGGCCTTTTGCCTCATAATCCAACGTCATGCTGAATGACAGAAAATTGAAGTTGAGTTTATTTGACTGTAGAGAAGAACTACACAGAACAATACACCTATTTAAGAACTCCTTATCTCAAGGACTAAAGGAGCTGTCTTATGCAGGTGGCTTAATCTCTCTGCTGCTAAGCCTAACTGTGTGCCTTTATTTATTAAGGACAGGACTGGGCACTCTGCTTCCAGAAACAAAAAGACCCCACTGATCTATCAGTACCAACAATAAACCAATAGGATGCATACACCTCATTCAGAACAGTAAAGATATGTTCTTTGTATTTTTGAAATAATTTTTATTGCTTGTTTATTATAAAAAATTTAACCAAGTTTTTAAAAAAGCTATGAAAATGTATTAACCAACTCCTAAGTATATACTGGTGGCTGCTTACATTATAGATTATTCATAATGAATCTTTTTTTCTTGATTCTATGTGGTATCTTCTCTCCTTAAGTAAAATGATTTATTCGTTGACATTACTTATATTTCTACCTGACAGCCTCTAGTGGTTTCTGTGTTTTAAAGTAATAAAACATTTATTTGCTTTCTCTGTTTTAACTCAGAGGTGCTGTAAATACCTAGTGAATAATCTGAAGGAACTAGCCTCCCTGCTCATTGGGTACTGTGATTTAAAGACTGAGATAATCTATGTTTATCTTGAAATAGGGAGAAAGGGAAATGTAGGTGGATGTGTAGAGAGAAGAATATTGGAAAGCATAATAGCTTTTCCTTTCTTGATTTGAGTCATGATTGTGTCACTTATTTTCCTTTAAATCTAGTAAGTTCTAGAACTTTGATGCACAAGTGTATTTAAATGTGATCCTAAGAATACTTTTCAATACTATAAAAATGGGTGTTGAATTAGCTATCATTTTAACCGTCTGCTAAATTATCTACCAATTATCAAGTAATTGAGAATTAACTGCATAAAATTCATATATCAGGTACCAATTCTTTGGAGTTTATTTTTAAGATAATCAGTTCTTCCTCTTAACAACAGTTGCATTTAGAAGTAATAATACAGAATTTATCATGTGGACTCAGATCCATGCTTCATCTCACTTAGGATTATATCCTGACAAAAGCATCAAGGGATGTTTAATGGACTTCCCTGGTGTCTCAGATGGTAAAGAATTTGCCTGAAATGCAGGAGACCTGTGTTCGTTCTCTGGGTCAGGAAGATCTCCTGGAGAAGGGAATGGCAACCCACTCCAGTATTCTTGCCTGGAGAATTCCATGGACAGAGAAGCCTGACAGGCTATAGTCCATGGGGTCACAAAGAGTCAGACACGTCAGTACTGTAGGCAGTCACAATGATACTGTATTTGTCTTAATGACTTTCATTAATTATATTAACTTTTAAACTTTCAAAAATTAAAATCTAAATCACCTCTTGGAATTGGACATTACACTAATTTAGTACCTCTTTTATGTAGTAATAGATAATATTTTTCATTTACCTTAGATATACCTCTTTAAAGATTCTATGATATGCTAAACAAATATATGGCCATACTGACCACATTTTCATGGACAAATGTCGTATCACCTTGAAGCTTTTATATTTTTGACAGTTCATGTAAGAGAGAAAGATCAAGACTTTGGGATGAAGCCAACCTCGGTTGAATCACAGGATCACTTCTAAATATCTCTGTGACTTTTTATAAGTTAGTTAATTACTCTGATTCTTAGAAATTTCTGGTAAAAATAAAATGTATATCTGCTTTTCATGATAGTTGTGACTATAAATTAAATGATGTAGGAGAGAGCATCCTGCACAGCACCTGGAACAGTATACTGTCAACAAATGTCAGCTTCCCTCCTTATTCTTCAGAGGATGGGCAGAAATGTTTTAGCTGTGTCTGTGTGAATAGAACCTTCTGTAAGCCCACATGTTTTTAATAATAAAGTAACACATTATGCATATTCATTAGAGATTGTCTTGTTTCAAAAGATAACACTCAAAACTAAACTCTCTATGTGTATGTTATTTTATCTTTTCCCTCATGTAATGATATCACTTGGTAAGTGGAAAAGATATACCACACAAATACTATCTATCAAGTCCATGTTGAATTATTTATTTAAATAAGGAGCTGTACTCAAATAGATCCCCATACCCAAGTTTAAAATCCTGTCAGTTTGACTGCTGGCTAAAGCATTTACTCACTGTAAGATACTAGGCAAGATAATCAGAGATCTCATTTTTCATTACCTGAAAAATGGGGCTATTTGCATTTATGTGGCAGTTTGAGGGATAATATTAATATATGTGAACATGCTGAATAAATATTAAAATTTATACCAATATGTAGTGAATTCTAATTAAAACATTTGTTTAGAGTGAATTTATTTTCTGATTTAAGGAACTGGCTTATCTTCATAAAACAAAGTTAAGAAGGCAGATTAAAGATACATATAGAATGTTATATATTTGTATAGATGCATAAGCTGGATTCAAGATAAGCAGGAGAAACATCAACAGCCTCAGATATGTGGATGATACCACTCTAATGGGAAAGTGAGGAGGAACTAAAGAGCCTCTTGATGAGGGTGAAGGAGGAGAGTGAAAGAACCAGTTTAAAACTAAATATTAAAACAACTCAGATCATGGTATCTGGTCCCATTACTCCGTGGCAAACATAAGGGAAAAGGAGGAAGTAGTGACATTTCTTCTTGGGCTCTAAAATCAGTGTGGATAGTGACTGCAGCCATGAAATCAGAAGACAACTGCATCTCGGCAGGAAAGCTATGACAAGCCTAGACAGTGTGCTGAAAAGCAGAGACATTACCCTGCCGACAAAGGTCCATATAGTCAAGACTATAGTCTTCCCAGTGGTCACATATGGTTGTGAGAGTTGAACCGTAAAGAAGGCAGAGCACCATAGAATTGATGCCTTCAAGCTGGAGAAGACTCCTGAGAGTCCCTTGGACAGCAAGGAGATCAAACCAGTCAATCTGAAGGGGGGGAAAAAAAACCTAAATACTCATGGGAAGGATTGATGCTGAAGCTGAAGCTCTAGTATTTTGGTCACTTGATATGAACAGCTGACTCACTGGAAAAGTCCCTGATGCTGGGAAAGACTGAAAGCAGAAGAAGAAGAGGGTGTCAGAGGATGAGATGGCTGGATGGCATCACCGATGCAATGGACATGAACTTGGGCAAACTTCGGAAGATGGTGAGGGACAGGGAGGTCTGGTATGCTGTAGTCCATGGGGTCTCAAAGAATTGGACATGACTGGGTGACTGAACAACTTTAAAGATTTTAAAGTTTACTATTAAAACACGTGATTAAAACATCTGAATAGATGCAACAGAAATTTTATAAATTCCAGTGTTTTAAATTATTTTCTTCATAGAAATCTTTTAGTCCACCCATGTAAATTTGTTTCCACCTCATATCCAAAAAGAATACCAATGAGGGCTGTTACTGAGTGTAGGGTTCAGGCCTTAGTCCACACACAGGCTATTGGTGGGACTCAGATCATTCAAGCCATATGTTCTTTCTGCTCTAGTTTCAGTTCTGTATCCATACATGTGAGATGTGGCTCCCTGAATAATCTTCTTCAAACATTACTTGAATTCCCCAGTTCAAGACTCTATGAAAGCCAATTTCCTGCTTGTATTTTCTTGGCTTTGAGAGTCATTAAAATGCCTATTAGATGCTACCCAGAGTTAACAGATTCTTTACCAGAAGCCTTGCACATGGTTTATCTATTTCGGTTCTTACTGAGAGGCCTCAGCAATACTTCTCAGTTGCAGATCGCATGAGTGAGCTCAGGCGGTCAAGTGTTTCAGAAGTGAGTCACATGATCAAAAATTCGTATGTGTGCTGCAGCATAAATTGCCTTTGAAAACATTAGCAAAATTTAGCCAATTAGCTGTTTGAAAATTAGCATGATGTTAGGGGAAGAAAGAGGCTAATAAATGGAGTCTATCAAAACCCAGTAATTCTGCTGGGTATCAGAGTACAGATGAGCTACATATGGTGATCCAAGTGAAATGGAATAAACAACTGCATCATTCTTCAGGAGCTGAGTGGAAACTCTTGAAGAATGTGTTTTTTTCCTATAAAAATATCTGGATACTTAAAATGTAGTAATCAGAAGAATACATTATGTCATTCCAGATTTACAGTGTCAAGTAGAAGCACTTGGGCTAAAACTTCAGAAGGCAGTGACTGAGATGGACAACTACAAAGAAAAGCTCATGTAAGATGGTGAATATTGAACAACCTACAAGAATTTAGAAAGACCCTCATGTATTCTCTGTGGCTCAGGACAGTAATTTGGTTGTGTGGGTATGGTCTACTGCTATTTTTCTCACTTTTCTGTCTTATATTGAAGGACCTGTACATGTTTTTAAATACATGAAATGTTTCTTTACCTATCCAGGGAAAAGTATTAAAGGTTTCCCTGTTTATTCAAATGTAGTAACTTAATATTCTCTAAATTTTTCTCTTTTCATCTATTTATTATCTGTCCGGAAGAAACAACATTGAAGTTGTTTCTTTAAACTATCAATTTTAGATTCAAAAAGACAGTTGCTGTTGCTGCTAAGTCGCTTCAGTGGTGTCTGACTCTGTGCAACCCCATAGACGGCAGCCCACCAGTCTCCCTCGTCCCTGGGATTCTCCAGGCAAGAGCACTGGAGTGGGTTGCCATTTCCTTCTCCAATGCATGAAAGTGAAAAGTGAAAGTGAAGTCGCTCAGTCGTGTCCGACTCTTTCGGACCCCGTGGACTGCAGCCTACCAGGCTCCTCCACCCATGGGATTTTCCAGGCAAGAGGACTGGAGTGGGGCGCCATTGAGTATCTTTGAAATTCTGGAGTGCTTGTGCATTACATAAGTGAGAAAGAAAATATTGGAAAACAAATGATAAGACAATGCCTTTGTAAAATATCCAGAACAATATTTCTTTTTAAAATGATTTTATTTCAGAAATTTCAAATATTATAGTGTAAATATTTGTGTTCGGTTGCTCAGTCATGTCCAACTCTTTCCAACTCTTTGGACTATAGCCTGCTAGGCTCCTTTGTCCATGGGATTTTCAGGCAAAACTGGAGTGAGTTGCAATTTCCTCCTCCAGGGAATCTTCCCAACCTAGGGATTGAGCCTGCATCTCCTACATCTCCTGCATTGCAGGCAGATTCTTTACAGCTGAGCCATCGGGGAAGCCCATAGTATAAATATAGTACATCTATAATTACAAAAAGGATTTATATAATCTTTGAAACATAAGTAAATTTTTTACTTTGTGGTATATGAACTGGTAGCTTTGATTTTCAGTTCCTATATTTTAGAAGGATGAGCCTCATAAGAAATATAAATATTTAGAATGCTTAGCAACTGAATGTTGTGTTGACCTTGAACTACTCCTAAGAAAAATGTGTTCAACAAAATTCTTAACAAGGAAGAACAAATTTTAAAAATACTGTGTCAAATTAATGTATACTTTGACTATTTGCAGCAAAATAATTTATTTTCAAAAGTTAAAACCAAATATTCATGATTTACGACACGTGGTCAATATTGCAGTAAATAATAGTTCAGTTCTCTGTGTATGATGGCTGGGGTTGAAAGAATGAGAGGACAAGTGGTACTAGCATGACTCACCGGGCCCCGCGAGGAACTTTCTGATGAAAGAAACATGAAAAAGAGAAGCAAGATGGGAATTGCCAGTAAAGAATCATTAGTTTCCACCCTCTAGTAACATCAGGGAAGAGGATTCTGACCACTTGGAAGGCTGCCAAGTCTGGCCACAGCCCATTTAATATTAATACGTGCCTTGTGATATTTTTGTTAGTTATATTTTTAATATAATTTATAATATGAGTGCTGAGAAAGGATAAGAGTCAAAGGAGACTGAAGCTGGAGGGAGAAAATACTACATCACGAAAGTCCACCAAATGAATTACCTGGAGGAAATCCCTGCAAAAATGCTGATGCTGTTGCTTCAGTTTATAATAAACCTGGTTCTTCCTATATGAGAACTTCTTAAAATTAGAAAATGAGCAAAGTAATCACTTTTAGAAAACTTGAGTTACAAAAGATAGAGCCACTTAAATGGTCCCAACTGCTAGAGACCTTTCTCTGTGCTGCCCATACCTACCCCTTCCCTCTCTACTCCGTCCATGCTCCTTCACTACCAGGATGAAGTTGAGTAGGTTGGGTGTTTGGAATCAGTCTGGGACAGCTTAAGGCACTCAGAGCTCAGTAAGTCTCCAGTAGTATTTAAAAACTATTTTATTAAAAGGTTAAAACCAAGTTTGCAACTTGGCCATTGTTTTATGATAAATTCAGTTTGAATTCAAAATAATACACTCAAAAATTCAGCCATACAATTTCTTAATAAATTTGAGATTTGCTCTACATACTCAAATCTGTTTAAACTTCCAAAAATTGGAAGGCTCTATGAAATCATATTTTTAAAAAAATTAAATTCCTACTCTTTATGTGTGGGGTGGTGGGTGGGTACAGGAATGAGTTTCACCTCTCCAACTTAATATAATTTTTTTGTTTAAAGATTTTTAAATGTTTGGATATAAATTTTGTAGATTTTTATTTATGGGAATGGCAGTTTTTAAATGGATGAGTTGAGGTTCTTTTCTCCCTAAGATGTGTAAGGAAATATTTTCCAAGGTTTAGAAGAACTTGTTACATATTTGAAAGCGGAGATTTTATCACTTAGGATGCTTTGAGCTACAGGTGACAGAGGTAGAGTGGTTTCAGGTTTAGGCACCGACTCAGCAGCATAACTGGGGATCTGGACGTTCTTCCTGTCTCCATTCTGCTGCCCTCGGCACTGGCTTCACCTCACGGCTAGGTCTCCTAGCATCACGGAATGACTGCAGGTCCAGGTACCACATCCAAGAATGACCACCGCAGGGGCCGGAAGGGCCTGTTTTTCTAAAGTCTCCTTAGAAGTGAGATGAGAATTTCCCAGAAGCTGCCAAATAGCCCTCTCATTACATCTCTTGGCTAGAACCATTTACAACCCTCTCCTAAATGAATCGCTGGCAGGGGCAGCAGGACTACCTGAGTTAGGTCAAGCAGAGTTTGTCCTGAGAACAGATGATAATGGGGCTCTGATGGCTGTGAAGAAAGCTATAGTACATGTCCAGAAGGTAACCAGTAATGTTTACTAAAGAAGTAGAGTGTCAGTGATGCTCTGAAAAGTAATGACATTTTCTACAAATTTCGTGTCACATCTAGATTAATTTAGGGAAGACCTCCCTAAAGTAATAAAAAATATGGATGCTGTCAAATGCAACTTTATTAGTTTTAACTATATATGTATATATAAAGAGAACGAGGAAATACACTTTTGTTTTATATATATGTATGTAGGATAAGATAGGTAAATAAGACTAACAAGAAACACTGTTATAAAAGGTGAGGAATTTTTAGGAATTCCTAAAAGGAAAGACATAGGAAGGACAATAAAAAGGGTCAACTCTACAGAGGAATAAACTAGATGAAAAGCGATTGTGTGGTGGGCATGTGACAGGCAGGACTCACTTGGAATCAGTTAACACAAACAGAAGAGAGTGGGATCTCGCAAATCATCATAACAGTGGTTCTCCAACTCCAGTCTACAGAAGAATCCTGGGGAGTTTATTGAAACTGTGTGTTACAGTATGACCTCCCCCACAGACCCAGTCCCAGGATCAGTGTCTGGGCTCCATTCCCACAGATATTCTGGTTTTACTTTGCGGTTTGGGATGTCTCTGAGCAATCTGCATTTAAAACACCCCCTCCACACACACACACACACACAATTCTGATTCAAGTGATCCAATGAAACCTACTCTGAGGAATCATATTTGGAACATTTAAGCCATTGGCCCCTCACCAAGACACCTCTCCCCCAATCAACAGTTCCTGTGTGAAGCAGCTTTTGCAAGGCATCTGCACCCAGAATAAAGCAATGAGTGTGAGGATTGGAGCTGGGGAGCCTGGCAGCTACTGAACCCCAGGAAAGCCCAGGGTTCCCACATCCTAAGACAAATTTCCAGTGCCCCCAGCACACTCTGCCCCTTCATCACAACCTTTAAAAACAGTCTATGCAACAGTAAATAGCAAAGCAGATGAGAAAACATAGAAATTTAGGCTTAGGGTAAACACCCAACCGAAGATTACCAGGTATGTGAGAAAAACCTCCCCTCAGCCTGTTCCAGATGGCTCTGAACTCACACAAGAAAATTTTAACACAAAGAGAAATTGTTAAATAGCAAACAGAAGATATTAAGACAAATTTTTAAAGTTAGAATATCCTTCAAAGTACATCCAGGATTGTAACCATGAAAGAATAACAGCCTGTTAAAAAAAAAAAGAAGCTATTAGGAATTTTAGAAATCAAAAATATGATTAGAAAAATGACTCCACTCATGTTAAAAAATGTATATGAAGGTACATAAAAATATATATGGATTCAAATTCATTGAATAAATGATTGGTAGAACTGGAATAGTTCCTTCTGGAAGTGAGACTCAGGGGTATGCAGAGACTCTTGTTTTACTCTCTATATATGTTTTACTCTATATACTTATATATTGCTTAAATAGGTTGCAGTGTGAATGTATTCGTTTTCACATATGTAATGAAAAGAACAAAATTCACCTAAAACGATTTTATTGGTTGCTGGTGAATATGTCTAAAATGGTTATATAAAATATGCTTCTACTTTGAGGACCTTTGTAACCTACTCATACCTTAATTTTATTAGCAGCCACCTCCTCCTCATTTAACTAATGATTGTAAGCAACAATCAGCCATGACCAGCATGAATTTCTAATTTATAAAGCTCTTACTTGACCAAATAAGAGCAACATTTCATACAGTTGAGGTGATCTAGGAACANGATGAAAGTGAAAGAGGAGAGTGAAAAAGTTGGCTTAAAGCTCAACATTCAGAAAACTAAGATCATGGCATCTGGTCCCATCACTCATGGCAAATAGATCGGGAAACAGTGGAAACCATGGCTGACTTTATTTTTTTGGGCTCCAGAATCACTGCAGATGGTGATTGCAGTCATGAAATTAAAAGGCACTTGCTCCTTGGAAAGAAAGTTATGACCAACCTAGACAGCATATTAAAAAGCAGAGACATTACTTTGCCAACAAAGGTCCATCTAGTCAAGTCTGTGATTTTTCCAGTGGTCATGTTTGGATATAAGAGTTGGACTGTGAAGAAAGCTGAGTGCTAAAGAA